ATCATTGATTACAACACCAGATCGACATCACAGCTGTCACCACCACCAACCACATCAGAAAAGGGGGGTAAAAGGATTATATCTCAAAAAATTGAATCTCTTTCTCTTGATTTAAGGAAAGAGAAAACTCCAACAATACTCCTCATTTCATACCAACATTAATGCCTTCTAAATTTCTGAAGCCAGAAACGACAAGCCCCAAAGATCTAAAAACGCCACTTGTAATGTTGTTTGGGAATAAAGTGCCAGAAAAATCGTACTGTACAGGAAGAAAGGAAGACAACATGTGTTTTTTTACTGATTAAGAACTACCCTGATCAAAATCCTCGTCCTTCTCTTGAGGAAACAGAGGTGATTCACGATCGAGTTGCTCCAAATATTCATAATCAACGTCCAGGTCGTCAAATTTATCAAGATTGGGGGCTGATGGAGGAACAGAATGACCCACTTCTGCCGATGTACCACCACTAGTCTTTCCTTCCTCGTCATTATCTTCATCCATTTCATCGTCTTCTTCATCACTGGAGCTTCCAAAGCCGCTCAGTAATGTACCTCCAGTGATGAAGTTATTGCCATTCCCATTGTTGTTAGCAAGCTCAACGCTATCAAGACCTGTTGATCCATTAAGCCCTGCGTCGGCGAGAGCAGATGATGCGTTTCCGAAATTATTGGCTGCGTTCACCGCGTTCATGACTGCTTGTCGTGGGCCCACTGCCATATCTGGTCTAACTCCCCCGAGAATCGCATTATCCCGTTCCCGAGTTTCCGCTAGAGTGACCTCCACGTATGGGATCCAATCACCGTTCATGACCCTCTCCAACACAGAGTCAGATAGGAGCTCGGGAGGATGACGTTCTGTAAATTTTACAACCTCTTCGGCGATAAGTGTAAGATGGCCCATATAACCAAGTCGCATCTTGTTCTTTTCTTGTGCTTCATCACTCTTCTTCTGCCCATTGACGATTCTCATTGTGATGTCTCCAGTTTCGAAGAGGTCGATCGCAAGTGATCGATTGTATCCACGATCCATAGGTCCGTTAAATACTTGTTGTACAACGTCATATACGACATTATGTAAGAAGTTATTCCAAGGAAATCGAAAGAAGAAATCCTACACTCATTAATTACAGTACTCAAACATGATGCCTTGGAAACACTTACTAAGATAGTTGGTACAACTTTATGTTCAACAAATTGCATTTTGAGATAATCTCCAACTACAGGAGCACTTGTAGTTTCCAAAGTTTGGTCTTGAGAAAGTTCCCCCGTGTTACCCATTAGCACGGAGTTGTTGCCTTCACCAGCATCTCGCATAGTAGTATCAATGCTGTCAAGACTCATGTTACCATCGCCAGGGACGGCGGCTGATGTATCGGCAGTCTCTTCCGTTGATCCTGCTTTCTTGGAGAACAAAGGTGCAGGGGTATCTTCTGGAAGTGGAATGACTTCTGCAGCATGAGGAACTTCTTCTGTGGGTACTGAAGCTTCAGTAGGTGGTTCCAACGCTACACTCTGGGTTTCAGGGGAGCCCTCCGAGGAAGCGGGGGTATGTTTATGGGAACCATCAGAAGAGTCTTCAGTATCATCGAGGACAGTAGTGTCGATAGAAGGAGGGGTGGTCATCGCCGTATCCTCATCGGTAAAGCCTAAAGAGCCAACTTGTTGGGAGAGTTCCTTAGTTGGAGAAAGAGGAAGGACAGTCATCTCTGGTTCTTGTAAAGTATGCTCATCGGACAGCGGTTGTAGTCTTGGTGAGCTTAACGGTTCATCAACAAATTCTTCATCATCCTTGTCGAGGAAAGAAACAGGCGGCTGGGTAGAAGTAAGTAAAGTTTCTTCGTGTTCATGTTTCTCATCAAAATCGTCCTTGGCATCATCGCCAAGTTCTGTTGCATGCGTAACTTCTTCAAATCCATCATCATCGGAGGCATTTTGAACCTCCAATTTTCTAGACCCATCTGGGGAACCTAGTCGTGTTTGTGTTGAGGATTTCATCGTAAGATCATCTTCGGACATTAGAGCAGTTGGCGATGGGTTTAATTTACCCTCAGCCTTCAATCGTTCTCTCTCTACATCTCGCGCCTTGACAAACTCTTCACTGCCAACTTCGTTCAACAAGCCCATGTTGCTGCAGTGCAAGAGTTCGGCCATGAGCTCGCAAGTCTTAAATCTGTCAAATCCGAGAGGCTCGATTTTTCCACCAAAAGCAGCACTCAGCTCTTTCCTTTGTATTGTTACAGGACCGTCGCCTCCTCCAACGGTATGATTAGGACTGAGGATGAGTTCCATAAAGTCGGGGACATGTTTGGCAAACATGCGCAAAAGCGTTCCGAGATATATGGGATCGCGGCTGGATGGTACTGCATTTGCCTCAGCTCCAACCTCTGGATCATAATCCGAATTATTCTTCCGAATGACTTCGATAATAATGCCAACTCCAACAGTCAACGGATTTCCACCCTTGAGCATATCAGAGATCAACTTTTCGATACATTGCTGAGAGACCAGTTGGCGAGTGAGCTCATTTGGCCCTATGCATGACTGCTCGTTTTGTGACGCATTTGCTGAAATAGTGATGATCGCCTTGAGAAAATCACCTGCCGAGGTTTGTGTGGCCCAACTGTGCTCCGAGGATAGAAAAGAAAGAAGGATTGGCATCAAGTCTTGCGAATGTAGCCACTATTTGAAGAATTAGCAGATATAAATGAAATCGGCAAGATTGGGTACATACATCAACAATTCCTGCACCTCCATCTGCCTTCTCCAAACTAATGATTTTCAAAAGAAGATCCATAATCATAGGAGAATCTACATGCTGAAGCATACTCTTAACTGTGCCGTCTATCGATTTTAACAAATCAAGCATTTCCTCAGTCTTTTTGTCTAACAGAGCCTCATTGACTTTCGTAAAATAACTGGCTTGTAAAGGATCCAAAGGCGCAGGAAGTTTCAAGAACTCCCAAAACTTGCGCAACAGAGGTTGATTCTCCATCAAAGCCTCACAGATTGACCAGTTGTCTGAGGATAAGACTTCGGCTGCAACGTAAGCATAGCGAGTCCGTTTCTTTTCTTTTTCTTCGTCGGCATCTTCAAAGGACTGGCGAGAAAGAGAGAAAGATCGAGTTTTGCCCTTGGAGTTTGGTGAACCTGACCTTTCTGTCGATTCTGCCCCAGCATCTTGTGATGCGATAGTCTCCGATTTAGGAGCCACAACATATTCCAGGAGCCTTGCGAGGATTTTATCTTCCCGCAAGTATTCGATCAACTTTGAGTTGTGTTGTTTTAGTTCTTGTATGAGATCGCTCTCATCCAACAACTGCTCTAGGGTAACATCTTCTTTGTCGAGTAGAGTATCGATAGTAGAAATGTTGGCATATCCGCCGAATCGCCAGAACATGATGAATTATGTAAATAGGACTCGTCTGCCACCGAGGAAACGGTGGTAGAATGAGATATGGGTATTGTTTTTTATGTTCGTATCTTGAGATTAATCATGCGAATCAATCGCTGAAGAGCCGCAGGTATGATGTACTTCTCCCCACAAGGAAAAAAAAGGTGGTTGTATGGAAATGGTTCCCGCCTGCAGATACGCACTTTTTATCTGTAATATGGTATCGTATCGCGTTTCGTTAAGATTCAATGATCGTGAATATGACTATGAATAAAGATGTGAGCTGGAGGTCAGTGATAACGGTTTAGGAGTGGATGATCATGTACAATCCGCAAATTGAGGAACAGAGGAGAGGATTGTGTGGCTAGTCGGTGAATGGTGCCTTAATTTGGGCGCGCGACTCTCTCAGCCCTGCGCTTCCGCAAGCCATTCATTGTAGTTGTTGTGAATAGTTAATGTAAATAATGGTAAAAGAGAACTTACGACATATATTTTCCTGTATCTTTCAATATCAATTGTACTTTATTTGTACAATCTGAATTGTGAATTGATATTCTCCTCAATTAAGCTCCTCCTCCCATTTGACTAAGCAAGAAGCCAATAGAGTAGGATCAATGTTGCTGTTGTGGAAAGGATCTGTCTGTGTATTGCGAGGTAAATTGTCCAGAGGTTTTGGGCTGGATTGATATCTCCAATTTTTGACTAGAGGATGGATTAGAGATATCTTGACGGAGAGACTCAGCCAACCAATGGACCGACAATTTTCTAAATAAAAGGGTATCTCATGAATAAGAAACAAGAAAGGTATTTTTTGAAAGTACAACTAGGAATCTGCTGATCAAGTACTCTCTCACTCTCTTACTGTTGAAAAAAAAATCAGAAAATCTTGGTCGGTCCTAGAGGGCAAGGAGGGCAAGGAGGGCAAGGAGGGCAAGGAGGGCAAGGCAGGTCGATGGTGGGGTTCAAAGTGGTTTGGGTCTCTTTGTGGTCTTGTCTTTTTCTTACTTGATCAATTTTCCAAATCTGGACGTAAAAGTTCGTTGAAGTTTGGGAGGATAGGGAAGTTGAGTGGGTACAAGTTGATGTGATTTACTTTTTCTGCCTTGCTCAAGCCTTTTGAAATTAAGGAAGTATCAGGGACCTTTCTGCTATGATCACTAAGAAGTCCGACTCAATTTAGAAGAGATGAGATAGGAAGAACCAATAGCGACCTGGGTAGGCAGTAGGGAGTTGATCCAAACCCCTCACTCATGTGCGTATGATCTATAGTGAATACTGGGTATGCATGGAGTATCCGAGTGAGTATGTGTTGTGTATAGATACAGCGAGCATCTTTGTATGGTTTTGAGTGAGTGATTGTTTCACAGTCCATACATACTAGGTATACTACAGTACTTCATATGAATGGCCACATAAAACCTCCTCCTTCTACTTCCTCCCCCCCAAGTAACCAACTGACAACGTGTCTTGCATATGTCTGATAGGGAAAAGATGGAAAAGATGGAAAAGATATGAATGATGACATTGAATCTCAGCCCAACGCCACGTGATGACCCGATAAAGATCAATGGCCAATTGACCGAGACAAACCCCGGGTGCGATTTAATACCAATGACGGATCAGACAGCCTAGACCTTCAAGACTACCGGTACCTAATCAATCACAACTCATAATTGAGACATCGATTTTCTGCACAATATTCATTGCCAAACACAAATTTGAAAAACTTCAACATAACCTCATCATTCCATCAAGATGAATAGATTGTTCGGCGCAAAGTCCTCAACCCCCAAACCAACCCTCAGTTCTGCCATTTCAAATGTACATTTCCCTTTCCCTCCCCTCAACCTCATCCTCCTCCACATTCCCACTAACCCCCCTCCTTTCTAGGTCGACGAACGCATCTCCTCCCTCGACGTCAAACTCGCCTCCATAAACGCCGAACTCACCTCCTACCAAACCAAGCTCTCCAAGATGCGCGATGGCCCCGGCAAAACCGCCATCAAACAAAAAGCCCTCAAAGTTCTACAACGCCGCAAAATGTACGAAGGGCAGCGCGATCAATTGCAGCAACAATCCTACAACATGGAAAGCGCAGCCATGATGCAAGATAATCTGCAAAACGTCATGACGACTGTGTCGACACTCAAGTCGACGAATGCGGCGCTGAAAAAACAATATGGCAAGATTGATCTCGATAAGATTGAGAGGATGCAGGATGAGATGGCCGATTTGATGGAGGTGGGGAATGAGATTCAGGAGAGTATTAGTAGGAGTTATGATTTGCCTGAAGAGGTGGATGAGGCGGAGCTGGATGCGGAGTTGGAGGCGCTCGGGGAGGAGGCGGAGTTAGAGGGGTTGGGAGGCATGGCGGAGGGGACACCGAGTTTTATGGTGGATGAGGTGCCGAGTTTTATTGATGAGCCGCCACAAAAGGTTGGGGAGGTTAAGGAAGCTGCTACTTGAGGGTTGGTGAATATCTGATTTGAGGAAGGGAAGAGGGACACATGAATATTATTTGAAGGTTGCGGAGTGAGAAGTAGAGCGAAGGTTGCTTTCGCAGTTTCGGTATACCATGATCATATTGTGGTGATTGTAGCGAGAGTTTTTCGTTTCATCGGCATTGGACTTCTCCATGTTTATTCTAGCGGCGTTAAGAAGGCAGGTTTGAGGAGTAAACGATGGATTCTTGCGCTGGTACGGGGGGTATTATTCGATATAAGACACAAACTATTCAACCAAAACTTAACTAGACACATGCTTCCCCGCTGATTTACCAATGTACGCCTAATCAATGCAACAAAAGCCTTCCAACTGGTATCTCCAACGCCAATTCTCAAATGCATGCACGTAATCCCAGAAACTCCTCATGATGCACCACTGATAAAATCCACACTCATCGTCTTCCCACCTCTCCATTCCCTCCCCAGAACGACTTCTATAGGCCACGCCGTCCATTCCTCCCATCCAGGCCCCAACTCGTCCAAAGTAGTCTGCAACAAATTCTTCCCCTTCCCACTCATCCAGGATACATGTGATACACGATGTATACACACACAATAGTACGCCACGAGTAACAACGCTTCTTTCACTTTCCTTCCCAGCATCGCTTCCACCTCATCCGGTATCGAAGAAAACCAACTCATAACCACGCTCAAGGGTGAAGGTGCATTAGGAGTTCTCAGGAGTCCGTACACCCGTTTCAACAAATCGAGTGCACGATCCAAATGTTGTCGCTCTTCGAGCAGTAGATTGCATGAAGAAGTACTAGACCACGCGCTTGCTATCGAAGAGACATGGGAATCGTCAACTGGGTCGAGTGGTGGGATATAATCTCGTTGAAAATCAATCCAAGGGTCGAATAGTACTTTGAATGGACCGCGAGATAAGTTTTCCCAAGTACTTTTGAGTATAAAGTTGGAGCCTCGGTAAAGCTTGATCCATTGGGAGTGAGGGAATGTACTTTCATTTTCGGCACAATCGGGTCCAAAGAACAGATGATTGGGCAGATTGGAATCTTGTGACGTCCAGGCAAACGTAAACATGATGGTTGTGAATGCGAAACATGCCTGAAAGTTTTCAGCCGTGAGATCGGAAATCGCAGATTGGAATAGTTGGAGAGCAGAAGTTAGGTGAATAGTTGATGCTCCGTGATAGTAAGCAGCTTTGAGGGGTCGAGCATGTGATAATTGCAAGGCGGCCAAAGCAAGAATCTCGTGCATAAGAAATGGAAACTGGAAAGCTAGTTCTACAACAGTTGTCCGGTATAGTTCTTGGCCACTAGCAAAGTCGACGAAATCTGAAACACCATACATGGTGTAGTAATGAAGAAGTTCCATATCAAGAATAGAAAAGGAATAATTTGATGCAGGCAGAGATGGAGAAGGCGAAACAACGGGTCTAGGACTCAATTCAACTTTCGAAGGTGAGAAATCAGACGCTGGTGATTTTGACTTGGAGCCTTGTCGCATCATCGTACTGCACTGAATCTCGTGACTATGAAGACTCTTCATGGGATGTGTACGCAGATAAGAGCATTCTGAACCTGAACCATAACTTTGACATTTCTGGCATGATGGTTTCTTCTCATCACACTTTTTTATATGTTTGTCAGCCAAATCCTATTTTTCTGTTGGTAATTGGGGAAAATTGGAGAAAAAACATGTAATGAGTAATGTGGGTGCAACGCCGAGAACCCCATTGAGAATATTGTGTCTACCAGAGAGCTTTTCTTGACCGAGACTAGGATGTTCTATTGGTGCAGCAATCATGTGTGCAGACGTGCAATATATGGACATGAATTCGCTCCAAAGGAAAGTAAGAAGAGAATACGTACCTTGACCTTTCTTGATTTGCATTGAAGACATCCGGTTCTACTCTTGTGATGTGGTCTTCGTGGACGGATCACATCCATCATGCCCAATTCTTTCCGATCTCTGAACAAAACACCAAAATGCAGGAACGCGAAGAGAAAGAGAACTATCGAGAGTGGGAAATGGAATGCAAAGCCTCTTACCGATACCAAATGTGAGTTGTTACTATTTAAAGCGTCGTATTGCTAGGGAGGTCAAGTACGAGAGAGGTCAAAGGAAGAAAAATGTTTCGACTCGAATCCAGAAATGGGTAGGCAGGTAATGAATGACTGGATGATTGAATGACTGAATGAAGACGACACGAGCCACCCACAACCCTTGTCTATGTTATCTTGTACTACCGAGGTGAATATCCAGAATATCCAGAATATCCAGAATATCAAGGAATTCGATTGGTCCTCCAACCGGCAAGTACGAGGCTGAATGAATAATTGGATCTCTCTTGTATGTATGTACGAAGGACTCCGTATGTACGGAGCAAGCGACCTATGTATGGTGGACCATGGAAGTGCAAAGTAGCTAGGTAGGTAGGCCGCTAGGAAGGGTGGGTGGGTGTTGTATTTTAAGAAATCGGAGATTATCGAGATTATATCATCATATACATCGGGTCCCCCATATTACAGTACCTACTCTTAGTCTCTAGACCCTCTACTCGAGTAATAAATGCCGTGACTGGAACCTCTCGGATATCACTTGTCGATTGTAATAGGAATGCCACTTATTAATAAGGTGAATTAATATACTCGCGTGCAAACTGTCATCTCGGTATGACCCGATGTTGCTCACTCAAAGTCTTCTCGATTCTCCGACTTCAGACAGACTCTCTCCTTGCTGACCCATGATGATGATTACGAATATACGATATCGACATCGCAAGGTTTCTGGTGGCTGTTCTCGTTCTCGGGCTATGTCATCCCTACCAGCTCGTACTTCGCACCGCAAGCCAAACGGAGGATACAGCAAAAGCCCGGTCGCTATGCAGAGGTTATATATAGGAATTTAGTCTATTAGGTCGCCATAAGTTCGGTCACACTTTATAACCCTGGAGAGAATCAAAACTCGGGGTTTTTGGTCTCTTTCCAATCCCAATGTTTTCCGGTGTGTCCATTGGCCTTTTGCTTGCTGTAACCCCATCATGACTATGGATGTGGGTATCAGCCTCGATTGAATTGGCGGCAAAATGACGTGTAGACATGAGCGCGTGACTTTGATATTTAATTGTGTATTCCAGCAAGGAATCATGGGGCGTGGCAGTCTCACGAACTCGCTCTGGAGTCAGCACCAGTGTCCCGAATTTTTGAAACCTCAATTTCTAAAGCACTGGCTTTTTCTTCACACTTGTTGCTTCCATCGACAAATCATCATTCATCCTCCTTACGAGAAACTTTGCTGATACAAATATTCTATCGTAAAGCTTGCTCATAGTTTCGTCAAACATCACCTTACTGACAAACCCATGATGAACACGAGTCGATATCTTCCACGGTCGAACCGAGGGATCTCTAGGAGGATAACTTGGGCAACCTTATCCTCCCGTCTCACTTCCCTTCGCATACCACTCAATTTGTTTCGGTCTTGTCAAAACAAGTTTGGCTTTGGTCTATTCTTGTCGCATACCGTTTGTGTTCTCATCATGACGCATGTTTTGGCATCTAACAATTGGACATCCAAACAAATATGTCTAGTGGTTGTTTTTCAAATATATTTCATATTCGGTCGCGATTATTGGACAATCAGAGCTAGATGGGTCCATCATTAAGCAAGTGCTCCGAATCTGCCTTGAGGTTGGAGATCTACGTTTTCAATCCATCTGGCCCCAGCCATACTGGGTGGCTATTCTAGTGGTGAATCTCATAACTAGACTGTAGGATCTTTTTATATCGTGTGGAAAATGGGTGACGATGTCAGAAGAGAAGGAGACGCAGAGAAGCGGCTAGTTGAGAATGAGTGTTCGCAGACGATTGTGATTCCTGCGTATTCATTCTACACAAATTAACTGATTCTGCAGGAGAACGACATTTACTGATCGATTATGCATTTATTCGAATCAAGGATTCTTTACTTTGTAAGGTATGCATGGTGTTGGCGCCAATCAAACTAAGCGCACAACAAATATTCTATCGAGGGATGAAGCGACCTGAGATATGTCCAGCGCGTAGCTGTAGGACGACTAACGCCTCATCGTTTGCCACGAGTTTGATGTTTTTTGTAGATCGCTTATGCATAAGTGTTTATGGTGGCCGTTTCTGGTCGAAGGACGATGGCTGAGACGGTCTAAAATGGCTTTTTCCGTGTCTGTATAGACTCAAATTGGAGTCGAAGATCAAGGCAGACCTTCTCAGGGCAAGGCCTTAAACAGCTGATCTGTTGGTAAATGAAGGCATATATTTGCGTCATCTCTCGACTGACTCATTCCCTTCAAAGTTAAGGTTGAAGCTGCTTTTGGGGAAATACTCGACTTCTGACTGTTTTTCTCTCAAGTTTTCTTTTCTCTATTTCTTTTCCCTATTTCTTTCATCAGTGTTAACTGCTTTAATTTACTGGTTCTGGAGGCATATACAAAAATACACAACAATTCACACATAACTCTCACATATTTCCACAATGCACACCCAACCAAACCTCCTCCGCTACCTACCTCTCCTCACCCTTCTTCACCCTCCCGTCTCTGCCCTCGCACACCCACACTCCCAAGCTCCTCTCGCTTCCCCCGAAAAATGTCTCTCCTATTCAGCCACCTTCCTAACTCCCTACACATCCGGCGCCCTCGAACCGCACGCTTCAGCAAAACTCCCCGGTTTCTGCGAAGGAATTGTGGAGCCCGTTGCCCTCCATCCAAATATCGTTGATGACTGGGGATACGTTTACGATTTCAGTTCCGGGTGTGGATGTGATGGTGCAGGAGGCGACGGGAGTGAAAGATTCTGGGTATATTTCCCCGTTGATATAAGCAGTATTGAGAAAGATAAACAAAAACACATTTTCGAGTCTCCGGGCCATGCAGATGAGGACCTCAAGAAGGAAAATCGAAAGAAGAAGTGTCATGGTAAAAACGAGAAGACAGAGGAAGAAATAGAAATAGAGATCGTGGAACCCTGGATTCTACACGCTGAAGGATGTGAAGATAATAGAGGAGTTGTGGAAATTAATGGAGGACTAGGAACGTGCGAGGAGGGGGTTCTGAGAACGTGGCAAATGGGTGTTAGTAGAGAGGATTGGAGAGAGATGAGAGGTGATGGAGGAATGGTTTGGATTGTTGAGGGATGGGATAAGTGTGAGGAGTTGGAGGGGAGATTGGGACATGTAGAAGAGGAGGAGGAAGGGGTTGGTGAGGAGGGGATTGAATTTAAGGTTGAGTTTGAAATCGAAGAGGAGATCGAGTATGAGGTGGAATTCGAAATTGAAATTGTAGAGAAGGGTGTGGATGAGGATAACATCGAGTATGGCTTGAATTTGAGATTGAGATCGTGGATGTAGAAGACGATATTGATGAGGAGCAACAGGAGCGACAGGGGAAAGTAGAAATACTAGATTTCGAACTTTAGGGATACAATTTTGAGGAGGGGGTGGTCAGAAGGGTGACAACGATATTCATCATGGATTAACAAGTATAACCAAAACTCAACTACAAATACATAAATACTCAATATTATTACTAATATTCCATACCACGCCACCAAACCAAGTCCAAAAAGTCACATATCTAGATTTAAAATCCAAAAATGAAATAGAGCAACCGAATAACCTCATACATACATATCCAAGAAATGTCCCCCCATTCTCTACACCCAAACCACACCTGGTGACCTAACCAACGCAGATATCACACACCCTCTGCCCGCCTCCCCCCATTTCACACATGATGCCCATCCATAGGTACATCCCTCCAACTTTCCCCTCCTTCTCCTTCTCCTTCTCCTACTCCTACTCCTACCCTCCTCACAAATCCATACCCATATCCACAATCCCACATTACATAATCCACCAACCAACCACCCAATCCCATCCATCCTAAGTTCACCCACCACTAACCAACTAAATCCTCAATCCCACTAACCAACTAACTCCTCAATCCCACCAATCACTCACCAATCACCCACTCACCCACTCACTCACTCACTCACCCAACCACCCATCCATCCATCCCCTCGGATTCGGAAATCCGCCAAATTTCCATATTCCGCTTCGCAGAGAAAACCGGAAAGAATGACCCCCAAAACTCCACTCAGATGCATCTCTGAATTCTTGGGGTGGTGGTGGGGGGGGGGGGGGGGTGATGCGATTTGGCTGGGCTTATGGGCTTACCAAGATGCCGTTATTTCCTTCTATCTCCGAATTTGTACATGTGGATTGATTGATAAATGGCTGCTGTGCCCATTTCTCTTGTAATATTTTTAATGTGATTAGTATTTTTATATATATATATATTCTCTTTGTTCATGCTTCTTGCTTTTGTGGCATTCGTTCATGAAAGATTTCCTTGGAGACGAATTGACTGGATTCTTCAACTTAATTTAACATCAACAGTCACAAAAGATATAAAAAGTTCATCAAATAATTGGTAGTCATATCATTAGCATTTCCCATATTTCCCTCCATCCCATCCATTCATCCATTTCGCTCCAATACTCCAAATACAGGTCTTGTCCTCATCTATCCACGTACGATATGTATGTATGTAATGTATGAACATTCTCATCCCCATACTACTACCACCACAATCGTCGCCTCATATCATCTATGCACAGCAAGAGAAATCAAAAATCGAGCAAAATTTTCCATCGCCTTGCCTCCCGGAACTTTAGACAAGACTGATGATCAGAAAAGAGAAAGAGAGTGTTTCCACGCCATGGATCGCATAATGGATGCACATCATTTAGCTATGTCATATGCAATATGTCGTAACGGAAAACGAAACGTTGAAGAAATGTTGGTGCTTTATGCTTATTTCACCCTGCGCTAGGAAAGAAATAAGGAAAGAAGAGATGCTCCGCGAACTCCCAAGAACAATCATATGGTTGAAGGACCGACATCGAAGATAGTGTATGTACAAGGCGACGTAATTTAGGATTGGGTGATCAATCGAATTGGAAAGGCCAAGAGATATGCGAGTCTCATGCTGCGAGCTATGTGTGTATAGTGGGTCGAGGATGCAGTAGCAGAAGATGTGCTATACGCCGATATAGACGGATATCATAACTAGACATAATTAGTATCAAACATGTCATCGATTGACATCGATGGGCATCGATTTAGCAGAGTCGAACATACCTTGTACGCTTATCCATTGGCCAATTCATTCCAATCAGCTGGAAATAGCAGTGTTCGTGCTCTGCGAATTTTTCCACACTCCTCCTCCAACAGCTCTGGAAACACCGACTCCAACACCAACGGCAAGAGCAATGACAACCAAAGCAATCAAGACCTTAATCCAGATCCTCGTCTTTCGATCGAAACCAGCCATGCAACCGCAGATACCTGCACTCAGCCTGTGTTGCTTCATAGCCTTCTTCTTCCTCTTCATTTGTTGTTGACCAGGCCATACCGTACATTCCTGTGTCGCACCCGTCTTCGCCTTCCCCAACAATGTCCCACTCTTCGTTGTTTGTTGTGGTGTAAGACAAGCTTCAACATCTGTATCGTATATCGCAATATGCTGCTTCGACGAGGATTTCTGTGCTTCGAGCGAATATCGTGTAGGGTTTGGATTGTAGAATGGAGAGAATGGAGATGTTTCTTGGGACAGACTGCTCTTCTCGTAGCGAGTGTGAGTTGGACTTAAAGAATGTGTAGAGTCGACATCTTCGATTGTGCTGAGAACGGATTGATTGGATTGTGTACGGGATGGAGTTGGTCGATTGATGGTAAGCACGTTCGTGTCGACAAGAGTCGATTTCTCATCGACAGGAGAGGACATGATGAGTTTGACTTAGTGTCCTTTCTTTTAATTTGAGAAAGTTCTTTGACTCGGGAGATATTGGTATATCGATGCTCGAACAGAGGAATGATCGATAAAGGTGCTTTAAAGGCTTCTTTAGATAATAGGTAGGCTCGTAGAAGCTCCAAGCCGTGATGCTAGCGTACTCTTTTCGAAACGAGGTAAGAACGACCGACTTTCTATCTTTGAAAGATCATCGGATTGTTGTTTTGAGGAAGCTTTTATTCTCTAGCACAAGACCAATAATTGATTTTGAATCTCTTATCGTATGGAGTCTGTGACAATTGATTCAATTAAATTCCTTTTGAAAAGGTTGGTTGTCAAATATGATTCAGGTGGATGGATGATTTGAATGAATGATTGAAATTTTGGGCTTATGATTCCTGGCGGGTGTGGCTCAGAACCTAATCGTACAACAACAACAAGTAGTAACTTTGGTGAATCCGATGGAGGGAGGACGATAACAAATAAGCAATGAAGGATCGAGATGATTCTTGTGTTTTTGTGTATATAACAAGAATAATTACTATGATAAGGATCGAATTGGTTATAAATTAAGAATATCCAAGAAGATGAAAAGGATAGAGTCGGGTCGAGGCGAGTACAGTAGATATAAAAAAGGAGGGGAGAGGGATTAGATATGAATGAAGGTATCTTTTGGTGGTTGCGCGATAGATACTAACGACCTAGTATTGTAGCTAGGTAGCTAGTGTCTACTCCGTATACGTATTGTCTAATCGACTAGGGACAGTTGGGGAAAAGGAAAGATATTAATAAGTACCAGTACGGTACCAGCAAGCAGGTAGGCTAATGTACGGAGTAGCAAGCAATCAAGCAAGCAGTTTGAATATGAATATGAATATGAACAGGTATTTCTCCTCATAACCTGGTCTGGTCTGACCTTGGCTCAACCATTAGTATCCATAACTACCTACTCTATCTCATTCCTCCACTTCAACAGTTCGAACAATCTTTACCCATCTGTCTATCAGTTCTACAAGTCCACATAATCTAATCACCAACTCCCAAGTTCCCACTCCTCAGACCTTCATGCCGGCATTACTCGTTCACTAAATTAATCCAAATCTCTACAGCCAGTATCTCGTAGTCCCGTCAATACTCAATCATGGTGTCCATTATTTGTCCATTTTCAAGTCTATTGAAACATCAAACTTTCCTCTTCTTTTCACTATTCAAAGTAATTTCGCTCTAGAGAAGCTGATCCCTTCCTGTTCCTAGATTTTTGATACTAGGATATGGAAAACTAATCTCTTCTCAGCAAAATAGTTGCACCAAGACCCGCCAAAAACCACCTTTTACCCCTAATGAACCCTTGCACAGCGCGGAACACTAACTGCATTCTAGACAAGCTTGGATAGGAATCAGATAGGCTTGTTGTGTTTGAAAAATCGATATGCGAAGAGCCTTTGATTTCGATATACGAGTAGTGCTTGAGATTTGATCTTCTTCAATCATTATATAAGACTATTGGGTTTACTGCGGGATAGTAGGTCACGGTTCAGGAGTATTGCTATGGTGATGGTGATGATGATACTGATGCTGTCAATCTCTCATATCCACTTGTTCTGCTACTTGTATGTACGAGGAGCGAGGTATGTAGTACGACTTCGGCTAGTTTGTTATTGAACGTTTTATTTTCTGCAGTGTAGACAAATGACAACAGGATGGTTTTCTCATGGAGGAGGGATTTTCCCGTATGTTCCTATGCGTAGATATGCCGATGCACACTTCGTACCAAAAAAAGAGTCGTATGCGCTTGTTGAGGTTATTCTGTACGCCTCAGCGTTACATACCTAGTGCACATAATAAGCAAGCTTCCGGTAAAGATATTGAATTTGGTATCACTTCCGATGCAGTATCAGAGACGAGATAGAGAACTGAATGGGATGGATGCATCAGAGTCACCTGCAATGTTCCCAGTGCCTTTCTATTATGTTCGTCTGCTCACTACGTACTATACACTTCATTAAATCTAACCGATCGAGTATGTATTGCATAAAGTGCTTATCGCCTCAATACCAGATCTAATAGCGTGTCTAACACCTGATTCACTTCCATCTTCTTATCTCCATCTTGGGCCTTGACGCGTGGTGTACAATGTACATATCGTGGCATGGTGGCTATACAATATCTGTTGGTATAAAAATCACAACACGATGGTCTCATTGGATGGACTACAAGCTTCATTACCCACAATACTCGAGTACAAAATAATGGATATCTGCAATGCCCCAAAGCACAGACTCAAACAAACCATATCATACTTCGTATACTAGACATACTAGACAGGAAGATAATATGGACCCGAGTAGATAGGGAAGAGATATCTATGTCAAGAAGTACCGTATGAGCGTCGACAACAGCTACGAAATATCGTACGTCCCAAATTTCCCTTTTTGAATCCTTCCAACAACTCTCTCAACAAACTGCATCCCTCACACATATCCCATATCCCATATCCCATATCCCATCTCCCATCTTCCGAAAATCGACAAAGCACCGATACGCATACTCGAAACTAATGAATTAACCTTCCGCGCCTCAAACCAACATCAACTTGATGGCAAAAACTCAATCATCACCCAATAGCAAATAACCCATCCATCAAATCTCCACCCTTCCTATCTCACCCGTTTAGCTCCTAGGAATACCATTGTCCAATCACAACACAAACACTATATACCAAGCAATTCCCTCGCTTCTTCACCCACTCTCTACCTGCTTTCTACAATCTAATCCGTGGGGTCATCTTTTTGCAGAAGAGGTGCTGTGCGTAAAATCTATTCCATGCATCATGCATGAAAGAGAGTTATTAGCTTTTCCAATTCTTCTCACTTCCTCCCGTCCGCTATCTCTCGCATATGAATTGACGAACAAACCCAAAGTTACCCAACGAACCAAAACAGACTCAAACAAACAGAAAAAAATTAATCTCGAACTGATGTGCGGAGTTGCCGATATTATTGCAATGTTTGTTTGTGCGTGATACTGGGTATCTGTTACACTCCCCATCACAACAGATGCGCTGTTCACTTCTTCAAATCATTAGACCCGAAGAAATTCATCTAATCGATCAACAAACTCTTCTTCTAGCTTACATCTAACATGACTCCCCTCATCGAAATTTCTAGCCACGGCACTTGCCACGAGGTTGCGATACTCAACTACATCTACCTAGATCAATACTTCAAAGGCTCAAGAAGAAAACTAAGATAGGGACGAACGGACCAAAGCCCGTGAAGCCACTATTGTTCTAGACATAGGACGCTTAGCATTCCGCGTACAAAGCTCCCCATTCATCAAGCGTCATTAAGCCTTTTTCCCAGCAACTAAAATGTTTCTTGGAATATAGCTTGACTTTCAGACTGTTGATTCATTTGGTCTGGAGATTCTCTCTGACCTCTTTCCTTTTCTTTTGATTTGATTCGATTGCTGGATTCGATCTCTCGATTTGATTTGATATGCTACAGTAGTGCTGTGACTACCCTGTATGTGTGTCGGAAAATTCCCAGTGGAAATCTCCTGTGCGTTCTGAAAATTGGATTAGGTCATGTGCATGGACGTGAGGATCTTTGATTCTCGAGAGGGGTTGGAAGAGAGTCAGGTGGTATGATCTGGGCTAAGATGCTTTTTCCAGCTTAATTGAGGAAAAGGAAGTACTCGAAAAGATGGGGGTACAGTAGCGTGGGGAAGATAAGTTGGTGGCGGAATTCAAACAGCCTCGGAGAAAGGTAGTTGGTACATTGATTTATACTTTCCTCTTTGTTTTTATGCTTTACGTTTGTTCTTTGCTAAGGGCATCGCATTTTTTGCTGTCTGAATGATATACACGATCTTGTAGTTTGTGAGTTGTCGATTTGATTGCGATGATACAGGTAGCCAAAAGCTTGCCTACGCTGTCAGTCAATGCATCGTAGTACTCAACCAAGTAGCCATCATTGTAGTGATGTAGAAACGCTCTGCTTTTCTCTTCACTATTGTTTCTTGCTTTCACTACCATTCAG